CCCCAAAACCCCAAAACCCCAAAACCCCAAAACCCCGTCTTAATAAAATCTTAAAATGATCATAGAATTTTATATGGAAGATTAATATAGAATCAGATTGTTTTAAATCTTAATCATGCAAAAATTTGGTTATGTTTAGATCAGTTTAGATTGCTGCCCTTTGATTTATCATTTTGAATTAATCTTTCTTAAGAAGAAGTTTTAGAAAAGAGTGATAATTTTTACATCTTATTTTTCTTTTCAAATATTTTGAGAAGATTGTGCAACAAAGCATCAAATACTCCTCCAAAAAATATCATTCCTCCTATAAATGAAGGCATCAAGACTTTTATGACATAATTCAAGTTAAAATTGTCCCTCAAATCTTTTAAAGTGCTGTCGTAAATCAAATAAGGCATCAAAAGAACAAAACCTATTAGAGATTTAACCAGAATATTTTTAATGCCATTTTCTAAGTTTTCAATCTGTTTGAAATCATATTCAAATCTTTTCCTCATATATTTTTCAAGTAAGATCTTAGAAACATAAGAGCTGTAGAGTAAAATTACATAGCCAGACCTCTCAAATGAAGGATATTAAAAAGATTCTTATTCATGAATATCATCCTCACATTTACTGGTAATATTTTGAACCCACTCAGTCAATACATCTTTATCTTAGTCAACATTCAAGAACACTAAAGTATGAAAGATCATTGCAGCAATATATATTAAAGAGGACCAAAAGATTTTATGCTTAGGATTTGAGATCTCATGAAATGAATTTGCGTCTAAAATGGCTTACAAATGAGAGATTAGCCATTCTCTCAAATGAAAGTGAAAGAACAATGCTTGCCATACGCCTAACTGCCATCCTAAGAGTACTTAATTTATAGAGTGAGTACCGTCATATATTCTTTGATAACCCATTAAACATTGCATTGGGACAACTACCAGCATAATTATAGAAATGAATAGGCACTTTGATGGGGCTTGAGTGGTTTTTCCAAGCAAATACTGATCTCTTCTATGCTACCAATAATCCATTAACAGTATAAATGATAATGCAGTGAATTATGAAGTATGTCCAGAGATATTTCCAAAAGTATATGAACAGCTAATGTTAATAATCTAATCATTAGTCATGAATGGTCTTGGATGCTTGTACAATGACTTACAAAGATCTTACAAAGATGTAGCGAAAACACATGCCAGGATATAATAGAATGATCTTGCTCTTCTTAGAAGTAAGAATCCTAATATCAAATAGTAGAAATAAGCATCACCACTTCCAATCTTATCGAGTTTTGAAATTAGCTAGTATGTAGTTGTATTGAATTTATCAGTAGTCTAGGTGCTTACTACATACTCTTCAGTTAGATTGTATAGGGGATCTCTGTAGAGTGGTTCTATAAGTACTATAACTAGTAGCAAGCATCCTAAGAGCAAAAGCTATATCTTATTTTAAGAAGAATTAGACTTTATGGTGCTTGCTTGATAATTATCGTTTACGTTCATTGGTTAAAATGTGGGATAATGATGTAATAATTATACAAATATTTAAAATTAAGAAGTCATGTTGAATACTTGTTACCATAAAATTTCTGTTATCTTTATTATGGGGTTTTGGGGTTTTGGGGTTTTGGGGTTTTGGGG